TTTATATTTAAAAAAAATAATAATACAAGAGTTCACTAACTTTAGTAGACTCTTGTAGTGTTAGCAATTTTTAGTTGCAAAATTTTGTTCAGCCGTTAAGCACAGAAGAGACCTTTGAATTGAAACAATCAGAATCTCACGTACTACAAACTAAAACGGAAGCAACTCTATATGAGAACGCAACAGAACCTACCACCAGCGTGCAGATGTCTAGCTTCCAGAAGTCTAGCTTCAATCTGCCTCAGCCAACTAAAGGGATATTGGAAAAATCTGACGAGTAAGTTATCTTTCATACGTTTTCCTTTGGGTTTGCACCGAAAAACATTGCCATGTTCTTCATTTTCTTCATAAAGAAATTTGACAACAATATGCAAACATTTTTACAACTTACAGCCTTACGAAAGGATACAAAAAAGACGATAAAGTATGTAAAAATGTATCCTATGATGATGTCATGAGTGATACAGAGGATGACCCACAAAAAGATGTGAAAAAAACAGACAAAAGCACGGAATCTGATTCTCCCTCTATTGTGGGATATTCACCTTCCGATGATAAGCATTTCATAATCCCAAATACAAAAGAGAAATTAACCGATCAAATCAAAGATAAACAGAATAAAACAGAAAGACGTCGAAGTAAAGAATATTCTCCTACAAGGAGTCTTGAATTTAAGATGGAACCCGATAGTTGCAAAGTCGGTAGAAAAAATAAAGCTTTCAATAAGGAGAATAAAGATATAACAAGAGTAAAAGAACAATTGTCTAAAGGGAAGAAAAAGATTAGCATTGATGTTCCCGACTCAGATTTACATCTGTGTAGCAAAGAAACTAATATTAATATTTGTAATAGTAATCCGAGTACTGAATCAAGTAAAGAAATGGTCCCCAGTGGTCAAATATCACCTAAATGTACATATTTGTCACAACTAACAGACAAGGATGGAATCAAAGTCATCAAAGGTGTCGGCAGCAGTTCCGATGTGAATGAGAAACCTCATAATAAAGAACAAAAAATAAGTGACGAAATACAAATCAAAAAGAGCAAAATCAAAAGGAGTAGGAATTCCATTGAACAACAAATTGAAACTTTTCGAAAGAATGATAAACAATTAGGTGAGTTTAAAACTGCACATTATACTAAAAATAATAAAAGTTCTCTCAGCTTTTTGCTTAGAATTTTTTTAAGTCTGAACTTTTTCTTCTTTTGCTATTAAATACTTACTTCTTAAGAGTCCTACTAATTACTATCTTACTTTTTACTAATGTTGGAAATGCGAAATTTTGGATAGATGAATGGATGTTCGTTAGAGTTTGTAGCCTGATCGGCTGAACAGATCTCGATGAAATTTGGTATAGGTGAAGGGCAGGAAGAAGAACACATGGGAAGAACACATACCAGTATATATTTTCCGCGCGTCGAAGTCGAGGGCAAAAGCTAATCGACCATATTATTTTTTTTTTATCTGGAAAATTAAAAGATTGGATTTAATAGTAAGTGTGATACAAAGCACGTTAGCATTCTTCCTGCACGTTAGATATCTGCGAGCAGCACGCAGTGATCTGCACGTGCCCGCGCGCGGCGCGCCGCGAGGTGCGCGTGTTCCGCACGTGCAGCGGCACCGGCA